TGTATCCCGCCGAAGATCAAATTCACCGTTTCGATTCTGGTCGGGAAAATATTGCGTTGCCAATACTTGCACACGTTGAATAAGTGTTAGTAAACACAAGGAAAACTTGCTAGTAATAGAACAACCAACGAATTATTGAAAAACCTTACAACTTTATTTCGAATGACTTTTTATTATTTTTCTTACATTTGCTTCATTGACATTCGCCTACTCCTCTCAAAAATATTAGCTGTGTTGCGACACTTTTTTTTTCAGAAAGTTTTTCTCACAATTTGAAACCTACCTACATATTTAACAAACTCTTTGTGGCATTTTAATAATACGGTCACTACGTGTAATCCTACAATTATTACAGTCCTTATAATCATTTGAAACTGACTCTGTCTGCTTATCTTTAAGAAATCTTGAACTAGCTACTTTCGACTTTTCTTTTGTCATCTCCTGAACAGTAACACCTTCTTTATCAAACTCTGCTTCAAGCTTTTCTTCTGGAACATTTGTATCACACTCCTGTGGATATAGTCTTTGATGGACAGGTCTAAGCAGCTCACCACGTGATGTTTTAATTTTCACCTTTTTTCTACCCACTAATATCCAATACCGTTCCCGCAGCACACCAAACAAACCTTGGACTCTGGGCAAAGTAAGATATCTGTAGTCGTTTGTCTCATTTGGTCTATTTGCTACTTTCAATTCAATTCCAATTAAGGCAAATTCATTATCTCTGGGCTTCAAACTTTTAATCTGAGTATTGCCAGAAAAACACTCTTTTTCCTCCTCTTTTACTTCTTTCACATTTACCTGAACATTAATAGAGTAGGGCCATTTTTCTTCACATACATATAACCACCGAGGTCCCTCCCACCATTTTGACAAGTTTGTTAAGTCTTTGACCCAATTTTGGAATGCTACAGCCGTCTCTTGGTCTACTTCAGTGTCCCATGTAATGTTTTTAGCCCAAACCTCTTGTAACCATAATTTTGGTTGTAAAGTTGTAAGACAAATGAAGCCTATGGGATCAAGAACGTTTTGTGCCAAACTTAATAGTTTTCTCTTTGTGACAACCATATCTATTTCAATTGTGCTCCAAGTGTCATTTAAGCACCACACGTCTTTCTCTTGAAACCATTTTAAGCCGAGCATTAAAATGTTACTTTCAGGGCCACTTAAATTTCCCGAAAACTCCCAGCCCCTTAAATCGCATTGCGCTTCTGCCATGTCCTGTACAGATTCTTTGATGAACTTATTTACATCATTTCTACTTGACCCACTGGCTACGCAGTTGTTAACATAGAAGGTACTGGCAAGTTTTTCTATTGTTTGTTGTGGATATTCACAACCAAGTAACATACCTTTTTCTTTAAAACAGAATTGTTTGCTGTCGTTTGAAACCGAACAAAATATGCATTTTACCGTACTGATGTTGTTTACTAAACCAGCGGCAGTCATTATACCCGCCAGGGCCGGACTAGCCCAGGCCGCTAGGCCGCCTGAGCGGCCGGGGCCCTGCGCTAGCGGGACCCTGGACGGGGCCCTCGTGGAACCGCGAGGCGGAGCCTCCGTCGCGGGGCCCCATTTAGAAGATTTGATCAATTTGCCAATACGTTATTGGACTTACAGCGCCTTCTCCTTTAATTTAATGTTCAATACTGTTCAGCGAGTTGTTTGGAATACACTTAAAAAAACTGCAAATCCCTTGTCTTCTTTTTTTTTGGGGGGGGGGGGGGGGAGGGGTCCATGCGTTTGGGGGCCTTTTGGTCATGGAGCGCCCGGGGCCCTTACCCACCCAGTCCGGCCCTGATACCCGCGATACTCGCTTTAGAGCTGTGTTTCTCATCACTGAAGGATTTCGATTTTTCGTATTTCGATAACCCGAAACCGTCGCTCGCTAGAACAATTCTTTGCTCGTTTTCAACCTCTGATCGCAAACAACGTAACAAGTTCTTAAGTCTTATCTCCAATGGTGACTCACTATTACGGTCATTTTTTTGTACACTCTGATTATCATCTAACTCAGCATCAACATTACGACATGAATTATACAGGGTGATTCCTATAGTACCTGCCACCGTTTGGGAGCGTATAGGGGGTGCCTAGGGGAAGTCTTTTCATATAGGACACTTGGGGTCGGAAATCCAAAATAAGGGCGCCAGAACCAAATTTATCTTCTGGAATTTCACGCCTGTATGTAGGCAACCCAACCGACCGACGTTTCGCGCGGAGCGATGCAAAGCGAGTTAGCGCGAGGAAACGACATGGGAGGGAAGGAGGGAAAACGACAGTCAAAAGCAATAACGTTTACAAGTGTTCAACGTGGCCACCGTTGTTCTCAATGCACTTCCTGCATCTAGCCAACCACTCCCCTCGAACTCGCGTGAAGACTCCGATGTCCTGGCGAACAGCCTCTCCGGCCATGACGACGCGCGCAATTAAGTCCTCTTCGGATTCGACGGGAGTCTCGTAGACGTGCGCTTCCATCACACCCCACAAGTAATAATCTAATGGGGTGATGTCGGGCGAGCGGGCAGGCCACTCCACCGCACCTCCACGGCCGATCCATCTGTCCGGATAGGTTTAGTCCAAGTGTTCCCTCACCTGCCGCCCGTAGTGAGCAGGGCACCCATCGTGCTGGAACCAGTGGTCCCAGTACAAGTTCACTGGAACATCCATTAAAAGTTCTGGTAGCACCTCGCGCAGGAAAATCAGGTAATTATGGGCATTTAGACGCGGAGGGAGGATGTAAGGCCCCAGTAGGTTGTCCCCAGGATGCCAGCCCAAACGTTTAAAGAAAACTTGTCCTGGTATCCTCGCGTAAACGTTTCATGAGGATTGTGCTCCGCCCAGTAGTGGCTGTTACGAGGATTGAAGGTCCCCTCTCTTGAGAATCCTTTCTCGTCAGTAACTAGCACGCTCCTCAGAAAGTTTGGATTAGCTTCTTCCTCCTGGACGACTAAGTTGCAGAATTCCAGCCTCCTTTCATGGTCACCCGGCCGTAACTCTTGCACTTTCTTAAACTTATAGGGGTGTAAGTTGTTGTTGTTGGCGATGTTCCACACTGTGTGTTGACTACAACCCACCCGATCTGCTACAAGTCGAGTGCTAGTACGCGGGTTTGCCTCGAAACGTTCCAACACATCCTCCTCTAAGGCATTTACCAACGGGCGATCGCGATCACGGGCGCTAGTGGGCTGCGAAATAGGAGGAGGTCGGTGTAAACAAACAAACTTTTCGAAATGGGTGCTTAAATGACCCAAGTATCGATGTGCATTACGAATCTGTGTGTAAAGTTAAGCCTCCGTCAGCTTACCTGCAATTGCCCTGTCTCGCACAGTCGGAAGTGAACTTCTTGAAAGACCTGTCTGCGCAGGGTAACTGACGGTTTGGATACCGCTCAGCGTACGCTCGTCGTGCAGCTCGTGCGTTACCATTTGCCAATCCGTACAAGAAGTGCATGTCCGCGTATTCCGTGTTAGTAAAACGTGCCATAGTCTTTATTCACTTGATACGCGTCGTTGCAGACGGGATTTCGTGGGTTTAAACAAAATTCTGATCAAGTGTCAGCCACACATCGCCGCCTGAGATCGCTCCGTGTGCACC